GGAATTTGATAGCTAATGAAGATACTAACCCAAAAAATATAGGAACATGTGTCGAATGCTAAAACTTTAATAGATTTCATTTATAACCTCCTTGGTGGCGCTTTTTTGAAAATCGCAGCCGAATTTATTTCGGGTTTGATAGCTAATGGAGATTCTGATGTATCAAATTTTCAAGCATGTTTCGGATATGTTTTATTAAAAGCTTTCCGAATTTCTTCCTCAAGTGGTAGGTTTGTTAAATTTTAATTAAGATAATTTAGAATCTTTTAAAGGCGCAGCCCTTAAAGGTTCTCAAATATTTTTCAAAGCTGTTAGTGATTTTTTGAATGCCTTTTAAGACATTACAAAGCTCGCAAGGTGTCCCAAAAGTTCTTAAAGGCTCGGTTTCTAAAGTCTATACGAGCTTCTGAAGGATTCTTTGAGGTTCCTAGAGTCTTTTGAAAACTATTCGCGTCTTAAAACGTCAAGAAAAATTAAATCCTCTGGTAAGCTCTTTAATATTCGTGAGGTTTTTAGAATAGCCCTTCAACACAAGGATTTTAAACGCCCTATTTAAGGATTTTTTTAAGGGTTTAGATAACTCATACAGAGATTATGTTCTCCTGATACAACATTGGTAAAAATTTAAGCCAAAGTAAAGCTTTGCAATATCTTCATTGATATAAAAAGATCTCCTCGTCTGTCATGTTCTCCTGGTAGTTCGCAACAGTTATCCAATACTGTTACTTCGTGTATTAGAACACCTCCGCGCATATTATGTTCTCCTAATACAAGATTGCTAAGAGGGTTAAAGTTTGAGTAAAGCGTTGGAATATTTCCCTTGGCGATGGAAAAATATCCCCTCGTATATCGTGTTTTCCTGGTAAATACTCCGTGTATTAGCAGCAGGAAATCTTCCTCGTAGCATTACATTCTCCTAATACCAGATTGGTAAACATTTAAGTCCAGGTAAAGGAATGAAATTAGTGATGAAGAAATATCTTCTCGTCTATCATGTTTGGCAACTGATACTCCACGCATTAGGAGCCGGAACACCTCCTCGTTAATTATATTCTCCTAATAGAGCATTGGAAAATATTTAAGTCAAAGTAGCGTTAAAATACTTTTTATTGCTGATAGAAAAAATCTCCTCATCTATCATGTTCTCCTGATAGAAGAATTTCGTAACATTTAGTAACTGATTCTCCGTGTATTGGTATCACGGGCATCTCTACGCTTCTCCGATGATTCTTTGAATTAGAAAAAGAGATCGCACGAAATCTATTCATCTATTAGTACTACCTCCTTCAAAACATGCAGTTGGGTCTTTTAATTATTGTCCTTGTTCCTGATGATTGTTATTAGGAGAGTATACATCGTGATAATTGGTCTATTTCGTGAAGTAAATCTTAATTGATTCTGTTCTCCTGATGGATGACGTATGATTTTCATTCACCTGGGAGAACATTCTTTTTAAATACTTTTAAAGGCTTTCTCTACTAGGCGTGCAGGAAGCGGGAGAGTTATTTTTCTTATACTCGAGAAATACCTCCTTATATTCTCGATCTCTTCATAAGTGCTAAATGGTTTGACAAATCTGTAAATGAGTGTAAAATGCTTTATTTGTTCTCCTTGTTAATGTAAGGTTCCTTTGATGAAATATTGATTTAAGAAAGCAATGTGTGAGGTGTAGAATATTAATCATTCGCAATCTGATACATTTTTGGATTAGGAGAACATAATGTATAAGATCGATTGCCGCGTACTTCCCTTGATTCTTGCTTTTTACCAAACCGTTTTGATCAATCTGTGTTAGGAGAACGTGCATTTTTTCTTTGGCCACCTGGTTCCTGATGAATGCCAAATGTTTCTGATTTTTTTTTGTATTAGGAAAACATACGTGAGACCGATTCATCTATTTGGTGAATCATGAAGTAAACCTCCGTCGTCCCTGTTCTCCTGTTACACGTAGTGTGGCTTTAATGAATTTGTGTTAGGAGCATATAAGATATAAGGACCCCTTTCTAGTAATTTTCTGATTTTTGTTCTGATAAGCGCCAAATGGTTTTCAGCATTTTTTCATAGGAGTGCAGAAAGTTTGTTGTATTAGAGAAATACCTCCTTGTGTTTTCGTTGTTCTAATAAATGCTAAATGTGTATTGCGGGTGTCATAGTGCTTGTGAATGCTGGTCTCCTGATAAACTTAAACTATAAGAGAGGCGAGAATTCGAGAATTATTCATCTCTCTTCATTCTTATCCTTTTATTCCATACCCCCCAAACCCCCCGGTGCTACATTCTCCCCCAAAGTGTTTAAAATAATTACCATGCTTATGATTACTTCCTAGGGAGTGCCATCACATTTTCCTTTCCTTAGAGATATACTCCAGACACAAAGTACTCAGGGCTGAACGTTTTGGGGGTGGGCGTAGCACTGGGGGGTCTGGGTGGTATGGAATACCCCCCAGAAACGGAATATTTACTGAGTGTTTCCAAAACTCAATTGTCATAGTAGCTTTGATGAACAGGTAATCTCTGGGCTGGGGAGGGGGGGGGGTTAACACCGGAGGATCGGTGTGGTATGGAATACCCCTTCCCCCCTCCCCCTGGAACGAAATACTTGCTAGCTGTTTTCAGAACCCCTCGTCCATCATGTTTGGCAATATTAATACTTCATGTAATAGGAGCCGGAACACCTCCTCGTTAATTATATTCTCCTAATACAGCAGATATATATCCTCGTCTATCATGTTCTCCTGGTGGTTAGAAAGAATTCCTAAAGTAGCACGAGCATCTCTACATTTCTCCGACGATCTTTTGAATTAGAAAAAGAGAAAGCGCGAAATTTATTTATTCTATTAGCTGACGTATAAGTACCTCCTTCAATTTTTGTTCTTCTGCCAAACGGTTTTGATGAATGTGTGTTAGGAAAACAGGCAGTTGGGTCTTTTCATTATTGTACTCTTAGCTTACTAATGCCAAATGTTCCTAGTGATTGTTATATTAGGAGAGTAGGTATACAGCGTGATAATTCGTCTATTTCGTGAAGTAAATCTCAATTGTTTCTTCTCTCCTGATGGATGACGTATTATTTTGATTAACCTGGGTAGGGGAACTTTTGTTCTGATAAATAACAAGTACTTTTGCAGGCTTTTTTTACTAGGCATGCAGGAAGCGGAAGAGTTATTTGTCTTATAGGCATCTCTTCTTAAATGGTTTGAGGAATCTGTAAAATGTTTTCTTGAAGAGCATTAATATATCATCCTTGTTCTCCTGATATATGTAAGATTCCTTTGATGAAAATTTGGATTAAAAAAGCAAGGTGTGAGGTGTAGAACGCAAATCACTTACAATTTAATTTTTGCTTACCGTATTGCATCGAAATCTCTGATGAACTTTTGGATTAGGAGTACATAATGTATAAAATCAATTGGCGTATACTTCCCTTGATTACTTGGTTCTTTGCCAAATAGCTAAGGTCATTTTCTAGTAACTTTCTGATTTTTGTTCTGATCAACACCAAATGGCTTTGAGCGTTTTTTAATAGGAGTGCAGAAAATCTTAACATGGAGTCATAGCTCTTGTGAATGCTGTTCTCCTGATAAAATGCCAAATCCATTCTCTAAAACATTATTAGGAAAGAGAGAGTGCGAGAATTATTTATTCTTGTCTCTTGATGACATTTTGTATTAAGAGAGCATAAGGTGTGAGAGAGAACAGGGTCCGTCATTTATAGTGGAACGAAATTCTTCGGAATTTAGTTAGGTTGTGCCGTTTTTAACATTTGATCTCATATTGCATCGAAATCGCTCATGAAGGACTTCAAAGGTCAACAGAAGTGGCCAAAAAAGTCCCAAAATTGGCACTTTTTCTAAATTTTGAAATTCCAAATTACACACTATCGCAGCCACTTTCTCTGTCCATCTGCCTGTCCGTACCATAACTGCACCTTTCGATTTCAATTATGATTTTAAAGAAGTCACTATAGCTCTTTAATGTTACATTTTGGTGGGAAAACGTCCAAAGGCTTTGCCATGACCATGACCAAGAGATGGTAAAGTCGTTATTTATTTAACAATTTTGTTAAAATCGTCTTCTGCATATTTTTAACGCCTAACTCAAGGACCAGAGGCGCGAGACATTCAAAGGGGTTCCGCAGGGATCAATACAAGGTCCCAATTTATATTAAAATGTTTACTAAAGATTCGCGTTTTTAATTTCTCCTTTCACTTTCCCATGTTTATCTTGCATGATTTCCTCCGTCGGTCGAATGTCGCCCTTAGGAATTTGCCGCAATTGTAATACTAAATTGAACGGCACAAATGGGTCAAATGGCTAAATCAATTGCGCCAAAAGTCGCATCCGCATTCTAATTTGAGGCTTAAGAAAATCGCATTGGGTTACGTTCGTGTCTCGCATGTTTTAAAATAGAACTAAACTAGTTTAACTTAATGTCTTTAAGCAAATTAGATACATTGTAAGCAATTGCTGATCAATTTATGCAAATTAGACTGACGAGCCCGTTGCGGTATCGAAAATTGGTCCTTCGGCTTGGTCTATTTTTTTCCATTTTCTGAACGCTAGCGTTTTTTACGCGGATTTCATAATTTCTCAGCTAATTAAATATGAATGTTTAGAACTACGTAGTGATATTGGATACAACTATTACCTAGTAAAGGTCAATACACTGCGGCAGTCTAGACGGTCATATTAAAAATCATATTCTACGTAATTTATTAGCAATAAATGATTAGAAAAAAGATAGAAAAAGTTGTCTACAAGCTACGGAAGTGAGCAAGTCTTTGAAGTTGATCTAGAGTCCAGCTAGACAACTAGACACCATTAGCGGCGGTTCTGCTTGAGAGAGAGGTCAAAGTTTAATTGAATACCTATGCAAACTAACTACGCCAGACATTTCGCACGCCTCGATAATTTTCTACAGATAACGCTTGGGTAGGTTTCACTATGTTTGTAATTGATATTGAGATCGCCCACGCTTAGTATACTTTTCCTTCTTCGCAGAACGAAGGATGCGTGGATACAGATTTTGAAGAACAACATCTTGAGACACGTGGGCCGGACGAACAGCTCCACGTCGAAGCCGCCCAATGGATTCGATGTGCCCGGCCTGAACATGTCGAAAATTATTCCCGATCTTCTTCCATTGCCCGACGACTCGGTCGACGATGTCACTGAGAAGATTCGAAGCTACTACCCTTCATGTAAGTGCCACCCCCATCACCACCAGTCACTAACTTCGAGATTTTCAGGTGAACTGCCCAAGAACACCGACCAAGATCTGTGGAAGGACGAGAACACCATGAATTTGTACTTTAACGTGGAGCATCCAGACTCCAGCAGCATTAACGTGGCGACGGCCACCTTGCGCTTGTACAGAGTGCCTGCGGGCAACGTGACCAGCACCACAACGGACAGCTGCGAGAATTCGACCGGAAGCGAAGAGCAGCTCATGAGAATCTCGATTTATTGGTACACAAAATCGCTGAAGCGGCAACGTGGTAATTGCGGCACACCAGGACCGGTTTGGGCTAATTTTTTTTATGATTGCAGTAAAAAGGCGCCTTTCCGATAGTAAAGTGATCGCCCAAAGCGCCAAGTGGGTGGAATTGAGCGTGCTCCCAGCGACCAAAGCGTGGATGAAAGGGAAAAACTTGGGACTGGCCATCCTAGTCGAAGACCAAGAGGGTGCAGTTCTCAAGGCTGACAAATACTTCAAGGGCGCATCTTGCATGGTTGGCACGTGTGAGTGTGAATTAACATACTAACCCCTAACAGTCTGCCCTCAGTTAGTAACCACCTAACCACTAATGGTTTTGTCACGCTTAGGTTTTACCCGAGTTGAGCACCTCGACTGACACTTCCATTGTGTTTCAGCAACCCCAAAGCCTATACCAACAGTCATCGTCGACGCAGCAAGATGGGCAAATGAATTGGAACGCATTAATGGCAGCCCTGGACGAAATACAACAACAGCCTTCTTTAACCACCTATCACTGCTCCCAACCGTAGACATCTGCACGCTCGAGTTCCCCCAAAATTCCACGCACGATACCGCCGCGAACTACAAGGGGAACGTCTGCGACCTAAAGCGAGTGCACCAGAAGCCGGTGAACGCCGACGCGCCCGGCGCCCTCCCGACCAGTCGCCACATACGGCACCAAAAGCACAACATGGATCCCAGATCGAGAATGGTCGGCCAGAGGTTGGTACTGACCAGCGAGGAGATGAGAAACCTGAACGCGCACCTCGCGAACTCCACCTATCCGAGCATCCAAAGATAACTCGCCCCCGAGCACACACCTAATCATTTTTTGTTGTACAAGAAGACAAGACTGCAATTTTACTTAAAGACACACTAAGTGCGACTGTGGATGGATGTGATTGTGTTAAGCAATCATTTTAATTGTACTTAACTCGTCGGTAATTTAATTATTTATATTTTGTAATATTAGCTAGCTTTAATTTCACGAAGATACCTCGTATCTTAATGCTATGTGTAAATATTGTATAGTTAGGATTTATTTAATAAATGTATTTTCTAACATCTCTCTCTTTCCTCCCTCCATCTGAATGGTACTTTTTGATTTTTCTTTTCCAGGTGACCCTTCTCAGAAGTTTCCAGGTTCTCTGCTTTTCCCAAACCTTTCTGGTCTGAGTCGTGGAAAACCGTGGAGAGGAGCACAGACCAGAAAGCAGGGCGCTTTTTAGACTTCGTTTCGATCTCATTTCTAAAGCTTTTTCTTTTCTTGGCATTGATTCTCGTAATTGCCGTCATCTTGAAGATGACCCCAATCCGGACATCGAGTCTGACCCAATGTCCTGACACTGATCTTGACTCTGGCCCGGATTATGATATCGATTATACCAGTTTGATCTTGAGTGTAATCCAAATCTTGAACCTGATCCTGAACCTTTAAGCCGGACTCACAACCTCGTCTCAGTGGACCAAATTCTGATTCCGATTTTGATACGTACAGACACCAGCCTCAATCCTGATCCTAAATCTTTTTTAAAGTGCTTTTCAGGTAATTAAAAGCTCTTAGTAAAGATTCACAAAAAGAGGGAAGAGTCTCAATTATTTCAAAAGTTACTGGAAGGTTCTTGGCGATTCTTGGAAGTCCTCAAAGACAAAGAGTCAGAATCACAGTTAGTGTCAAAATTAGAAAAAAAGGCAGTAGGCACAAACGGGAGACAAAAATAAGTAGAAAACAGTAGGTAGAAGCGGAAACCACAACGGTAGATGCAGACTAAAATCGAAATGCAGAGACACGAAACAGAAATGGAACACGAAACATTGGAACGGAAATCGCAAATAGAACCAAAAAGGACCGGAAGAAAGAAAAAAAATAAGCAGGACACAAACGGTTAGGAAACGAAAATTGAAAAAAATGTGGACGGCAACAAACAGAAACCAGAGGATCACGAAAACGAAAATCAAAATCATATCCGAAACTTACCCGGAATGCGAGTCGAAATTAGAATAGTAGGAAAACAGCAGAAAGGGAAAAATGAAGCGGGGGGCTAGTCACGAACAGCAACGGGAATGGAAAAAGACCGCGAGAGAAACAGTTAAAGGAACTAAAAAGATACGAAGTCTGAAACCAGCACACAATGTGACCAGGCCATGAACGTGAAAATCGTAGGTAACAAAAATGAGAGGCGGAAACTGGAAACTAAAAACGGAAAGGAGAAACGGGTACCAGAAACGGAAACAGGTACTAAATGCAAGAGGAGACCAGAACTGGGAAGATTAAAAGCGGCAATCAGACACGAAGCGACACGGAAACCAGGGACCAACGAATCTGAACGTAGGGAATACTAGGAGGAACAGGAGGTGTAACCGGAAAAGGAGAATAGAAGCCGGGACATCTTGGAGGTTGAACAAAATATGCGGTTTTAAAGTAGGGTTTGGATTTTTTTAAGACCCTGTGGCAGTTTTGAAAAGGCTTAGAAAGCGCGGGAAGGTTTTCAGTGGAGTAACTTTCGGAGGCAGTGGAGATATGGACATCTTGAGGCGAGCTTAGGAAACTTCTGATGTACCTACAAAAAATGCCTTGAATCGGTACGCACCCTCATTAGAGCTATCGAAAAGCGTGCAGGGTTTTGAGCTCTGGATGGCTCTTGAAAAGAATGAAAAGCTGTAGTCAAACTAAAATGTTTTCTTTAAACATTTTGGAAAGAAACATGGAGCTTTGGAAGAGTAAACCTAGTGGGCGACAGCGCCCTGAGAATGGTTTAGAAGTCACTGAGAAAGACTTTAGGGGCCAGGAGTTGGTCTAGGAAGCGCTGGATGGCTTGAAGGGCTATACCATGGCGAAAAGTTGATGGATGAGCTAGAAAGCTTTGATTTAGATACTTTTGAAAGTTTCTACTGTAGACATATCGACGAGTCGGCATCACATGGGGAGGGGGGAACCTAGTACATCAGTGATGGACAAGCTCACCTTCTTACAGAGCAATTTGCAGCACACTAAGGGGGCGATATGTTTAATAGGCCGTCAACTTTCTGTAAAACAGACGAAGCGCGTCTTTTCTAAGGGCTGATTTCTGTTTCAAAGATCTCGTAGCTTCAGCGGAAAGATGGCAGAGAACGGAGCAAGCACTTGCTGGTCTGCCCAGACGGCTCCACCTACCAAGGAGCTGGCTGAGTTGATATAGTACTGTCGAAATCGTGGGATCCCACTTGTGGTTGGCTGTGATGCAAACACACACCATGTTGCATGGGGCAGCACGGACACGAACTCGAGGGGCGACCACCTTCTGGAGTACCTGCAAACAACTGATTTGAATGTTTTAAATCAGGGAACAGCCCCTACCTTCGTCACAGTGCGGAAACAGAAGGTTATTGATCTGACGTTGGGCAATACACACGGACCAGGAGCACATTCTTTTCCAAATAAGCTTGGCATCCCACTGCGTGCCCTGTAGGTTTCGGAATCCCCGCCGACTGGGACCCCTCCATGTGGCGAAACTGTCAGAGCAGTTGGATGGACCACCACCTTTGCTCTGTTGGAAAGCGGGGCAGGTGGAAGAGGCGGACGCATTAGTAAGCGACGCCATAACAGCTTCATATGAGGGAAGCTGTATACGCCGTGGTGGAACTCAGACCCTAGTATCAAGGATATATAAATATTTTAAAAGATCCCTTGAAGGTTTGAGAAAGAAGAAAAAACTTCGAACACTTCGGGAACCTCAAATATTTGTGAAACCTGAATTCCTTCAGAGGCATCGACACCCTTACTCTCCTTTCCTGTTGCAAAACGATTTCTATTGTCACAACTTACAAAGGTGTATGTAAAGAAGTGGTTTACATATAGCACTCGTATTCCATTACTGGCTGACAGACAGCACACAGACGACGCTATTTGCTTAGATAGCTGAAATTTGGCATGTAGTTCCGTTGGGATTTGTAGGGGAGCACTAAGAAGGTTCTGGAAACGGAAAAAAAGGGTGTTTTACCGTCGAAACTGCGGATTATTGAGACTTTATAACGTATTGTAACGGAAACACTCCAGACATGACGTCGCCTTTGGCGCTCTGGAATTTTCTACGCGCGCGATAGTGGGATTTGTATAGGAATATTCGAGACTTATCCGGTAATTACGCGAGTGTTCTGGACTTACATTGCTTGCGTGTATAAATGGTTGCGGACCGAACATCGCAGGCAGTTTTACTACCGAACGAAATCGAGTACGTATGAAACATCGAAAGCGGAAATATAAATTGCGAAGTGTGTGATATAAATAGTCGATATAAATTGTACAGTTTTTATAGTGTTTTAGTTTTGTTTAATAAATAGTGATATAAATCGAACCCGAATTTATAAATCACGTTACATTGGTGTCAGGTGTGGGATTAATTAAATTAATTAAAAAAGTAAGATTAAATTAAGTGCTTCTGCTTGTGTATGCCTGTAACAAGATCTGCTGCCGCTAAAATGGAAGAAACGATGCTCAATTTGCTCCAGCAAATCCAAAATGGCCAACAGGTGTTGCAACAAGAAATGAAAAGCAACCAAGAGAAGATGGAAGAAAATTCTAGAAATTTTGAAGAGAAGTTCGAGAAAATGGAAGAAAATTCTAGAAAGATTAATGAAGAAAATTCTAGAAATATTCAAGAGAAGTTCGAAAAGATGGAGGAAAATTCTAGAAAGATTATCGAAGAAGTCTCTAAATCAATTGAAGAAAAAGTTGAAGATAGAATTACAGAAGTTTCCAAAACATTTAAAGCAACATTCGTTGAGATTGAGCACAAGTATGAAGAGCTGCGCGAGCAATTCTTGCGACTGACTACGGAAGAGCGTACTAGTAGTGCCCCAGATGAATTACTGATGGACCGTCTTCTTGAGGTGCCACAGCCTACTCATTACAAGAAGGTTGACCCAGAAACAAATACAAGAGTAGAAGGCGACGTTCAGCAAGCCCGAGTAAAGCCACCTACTTTTGATGGTAAGATTCCTTGGACCACGTACGTTCGACAGTTTGAAGCAGCGGCTGCGGCAAATAAATGGACTCTTCAAGACAAAACTACAGCCCTGATTCTTGCTCTGAGAGGAGATGCTCTGGATGTGTTGCGGACCATCCCCGAGGATCAACAGAACTTCCAACAAATAGTAGCGCGACTCGAAATGCGATATGGCGATAAACACCTTCAGCAAGTTTACTATGCCCAAGTCAAGAACCGAATGCAGAAACCTGGAGAAAGTTTGCAGGAACTTGAAGCGGACATCGCTAGACTGATTCGATTGGCATACCCTACGGCACCGGAGAGCTTTCTTGATCAACTGGCTGTACAAACATTTATCGATGCCGTTCGTGATGGAGATGCCCAGCAGGCTTTGAGACTGGCTAGGCACGACAAAATTGAGAAAGCTTTGGCCCATGCGTTAGAATTCGAAGCCGCCAAGAAAGCTAGTCATGGAAGTGCGCGAGTACGTATGGTGGAACCTCGCAGTGACAGCCGGGTAAGAACCATCGAAGAGGAAGGTGGCTCTGAAAGTCAGTAAAGTTGGAAGAAAAGGTCAGTAAAGTAGTGGAAGAAAAGGTCAGTAAAGTAATGGAAGAAAAGGTCAATAAAGCAATACAGTCACTGGCAAAGAAACGTTCGCCGCAACTGCCAAAGACCATTGCAGCAGTCGGAAAACTAAGAAAGGTCGACAGGAAGGGGCTATCGTCGACCTGCAGAAACAAAGCCCCGATCTTCACTGTAAACATTTCGTCGTCTGGAAAAGTTCTGAGTTTGTACATCGACGGCCGAGTTAATGGAGAAGACAGATCCTTGCTAGTAGACACAGGTGCAACAAGAACTATTGCAAGACCGGAGTTATTGAAGAATCATTCTCGGATCTCATCTTCGACCGTGCAGTTAAAAACAGCAACTGGTGAAAGAATAAAAACGCACGGAGAAATACAAATGTCTGTCACCATCGGAAAGACCACCATCAATCACCAGGTGCTAATTGCTGATATTTCTGATCAATTCATCTTGGGGATGGATCTTCTTAAGAAACTCGGAGCTGTGTTGGACGTGAAAAAGGGCGTGTTA